CCCCAAAACCCCAAAACCCCAAAACCCCAAAACCCCTGATCTTGTAAAACCAATTGAAATGCGTTCTATCTACATAATTTTATGAATGAAAATTAGCGAGAGTAATAGCCATAGTCATACTTTGGCCTGATATGCAGTTTCTCGATCAGTGGAGCATCTTCTTCATTATTTCTGTACATATTTGGGTTCCTCTCCACACTATCTGAAGGCATAAAATCATCATACTTGTTAGGAGCAAGTATTTCTTTCATGATATCATATTCCTCAGCTTCAGCATCGAAAAGGTCAGCTTCTTTAGCTCGAATGTAAGAAGAAACTCTTGTGATTAAGTCTCTTGGGCCTCTTTCAGACCTTATTGCTTCTCCGAATCTGTTGTGGAAAATAGTGACTGTCGGGCCATCGAATATATTGTTAAGATTGATGTTCAAGTCTTGGGCAAGCTCTTTATATTCATATTTCTCACCGTTATAACTGGAAAGATCAGCTTCAGTGTAGGTTACAAATGGATGATATTTACAAATTAGCTTCCAGAGGGTTCCTCTTACATCTTGGTTGAACAAATTCTGTCCCCATTGATTTTGAAAGTTATCAAACCAAATTGTAACTATCAATGACTCAGGATCGTTAAACAATGCATCCTCTAGATCTTTCGCAGTTTCATCTTCAGGGTAGTTTAAACTATATCAGTTTTCATGAGAAAGAATAGGATGAGATCCATGGGCTTCAGCATGCTCCTCAGCTTCTTCAAATGCTTTAACAAACTCTTCCTTCTGAATTTTTCTGAATACAGAATTTTCTGTTGGCTCTTGCCTTACTTTTGGATACTCTTGTCTTTGAGCCTCTCTTTGATTCCAATACCCAGGTGGTGAATTGTACACTTTCTGAACTTCTAAAGACCTTAATCCCCAAATCCTCACCTGCAGATCTCTGTCTGTCATATGCCTTATATCTCTTCTCCTCATTCGGCCTTCCTGCTATCGAAATAACAAAAACCAAAAGTGCCAAATAAGCCTTAATCTCCATTTTCTATAAATTTTTCTAACTTTGGGGTTTTGGGGTTTTGGGGTTTTGGGGTTTTGGGGTTTTGGG